AGTTTGCATTCAGAGGAAAACAGCGCGAGTCTTTTATATGGGCTTGAGGTATATACCAGTGGCATAGCCAGGGTGGAGGCTTAAAACACCTAACACCCCCCCCCCCCCCCCCCCCCCCCCCACACACACACACACACCGAAATCCACAAGGCCGTGGCTATATCTTGAATGTCGTCACTTCTGGTATGCGGTAAAACATCGTTTTGATCTCCACGTCACTTCAAGATCTTTACGAAAAATGCTTGACTGTCCCACATCAACATTGTAAAAACCCGAGACGTTTTTGTCCTGCGTCTCGGGTTTTACAATGTTGAAAGTTGACCAGCTCGCATGCATCTTCTCTGTAATTTCTAGCTTGACTTGCATTTTCGTTTTGCCCCACCTATATTTTCTCGCATATTCCAGGTTGAAAAGTTTTATTATTTTTTTCGTCCCGCATACAAGATACGGAACCCACATGACTAAAAACGACAACGAAAAAAGTATATAATATACACATGCATTTTGCCCTCTCCCCCTTTTTTGTTTTCCGTAAAAAAAATAAAAAAAAAAAAACTTTTGGTCACGTAATTGGTATATAGATATTGTATAGTGTCTATCAGTTTGATGCTGGCGCCCTCATGTTCAGACGCCGTTGAAGGCTCCACTTTCACGCGCCTATAGCGATGGCATAGTGAGTTTTTACTTTTGGTTAATTTCATCTCATCTGCTCTAGCTCTTGCTGGAAGGCTGTCTATTTCTTCCTTTCTTTTTTTAGGCATATTTAATTTTGCTCACAGCACGGAAAGAGAGAAATTAGAAAAAAGGAGGATAAAGCTTTTGCTTTTGGTACGTTTTTATTATAAAGTAAAACGCTATAAACATATAGGTTATTGTTCTCTCCTAGGCCGGAGTCAGACTGATCATTCGACAGATACTGTAAAAGAGTTGTATACTATAAAAACATAGTATATAAAGTGAGGAATATCGCTGTATAGTAGATAAACACAAGGAAAAAAAAAATAGACCGGCATGCTTATACACAACATTACGAAAAATACAAAAAAAAAACTTGGATATTATTTTTGAATGTTGGCGATTTTTGTGCTAAACTCGCGAAATTATCAAAACAAGAAAATGGGTAGCAGAAACAGAAAAGTGTTGCACAAGCATGTGTGGATCTTTCCGGCATTTCGTGAACTCCCTTTAAACAAAGAAAAGTAGAAAAAAATATTGTGTTTCACAGCGAGAGGTTTTTAAGGCCGTCGCCGGCTCAAGCAATACGACGTAGAATTAAGGCAACTGCGCATGACGTTATTATTGGTGAACCCCCACCCTACCGAAATTTCCGACTTTTCGTAAAAATCAAGCACCGAAATATATATATAAAAAAAACTTAATTTTTAGGTCTTTGAGAAGTTAGCCAGATTCGAGTATGTATGGGAATCGACTCTCTAAAGAGCGACATCTCCTAGCGCGTTGCTTCTGTGTCGCCTTCTGGCGGGCGCGTGCGATCAAAACAGGAGATAATTGCGTAAGTCTTCTCGCGGAAAAAAGAAAGAAAATGGCGCAAGGCTGGAGAGTTCCAGCACCCAAGCATGCATTCCTACATCTTTCATGCCGTTTCTTCACGTGAACCGTACGGCAAATCTGCTTTAGCTATTGTTTCCGCTTTGTCCGCTAGACGTGTGGAAACAAACGGCACTAAGCACGTTAAAAAAAAAGGAAGGGGGGGCTTCGGTATTCAGAAAATTTGGTAAGCGGGATCGTGGATCGCCTTTAACATTTAAAAGTCAAAAGTCTTACGTTACAAAAAAAAAAAAAAAAAAAAAAAGTTCCTGTTCCGACACCGGGAATCGAACCCGGGCCTCCTGGGTGAGAGCCAGGTATCCTAACCACTAGACCATGCCGGAGATGGGTTTCCGTGAAACAGAGGTACGTTTTATCCCGGCTTCTAATATACGTAATTTAATCGATCGTTTTCGGTGCGCTTAAATTTGGTTTTGTTTTTTTATTGTACGCTGCCTTTGTCTAATAAGAACGGAATACAGTTTTGTCCCCTGGATAATGAATTTGTTCGCTGCTTGCATTCCCGGAATTATTTTCTGCCTTGAATTCAGGTACAAAGCGACTGAGTTGTTTTGTACTTTAAGAAATGGTACACAGTGCCACGCTGTGAAATGTGCCACAACTGTAATACCACAGGTACAATGGACAATAAACGAATTAAAAGGTGCTTATACAGCTCCACATTACATGTACTTAGTAACCTCTCGCATCTACCTCAAGCAAAAAAAGAGAAAAAGGAATGCGTCGAAAATTGGTTTTATTATTCTATAAAAAAAAAGGACAAAAAAAAAAACAAAAAGAAGAAAACTCTGTAGTTTGTCCGAGGATGTTCGACAATCATTAACACATAAAGCAGAAATCACAATGCAAAAACCGTGAACATATAAAGCCAGGTCCAGCGGTCCCGATTTTTAAAAAGGTACTCAAACATCCATCTTTCCTTGAAAGGTGCCCGATAAGACAAATCGCCGTTAAATAAAGCATGCTTTCATGCTCCGAAAAGAGGTCCTTCAAGGTAACGTTCAAGGGCACACCGAACGTACTCGTAGACGATGTCGAAATTCACAGTCCTCGTTCGTCGAAGTCGAGCCACTTTCCGCGCAACTCAGGGAACGCGGAAAGTGCATCCAGCATTCCGGCTGTCAGTTCTACAACTTACCGGTAGGAAATGAAACTATGTGAGTTACCATTCGTCGAAAGTAGAACGAACCCCTGCGGTCCAGACCGGTTGTATGGCCTTTGCGCAGTGAAGCGAGAGGCGAGACCTAGGAGGAATTTATATACATCAAGAGGCGGGATGTCGGACACCGAGGGAACTACTTGGCTGTGATCCAGGAAAGTTCATGGCTATGGACGCCACAGCTTCTATCGCGCAGTTCACATTCCAAGCGCTCGTTTTCACGCTCAGGCTGGCACTAACAGAGTGCTGCGACGTTTTCAAACTTTGAAGGTTCATTGTTCTGCATCTAGACAAAAGGACGCGGGTATGCACGCCTAGCTGGATTCATAGTCAAGGGCCTGCGCGTAACTCCCAGTAGCTTCCACTTTCTTGCGAGTCGAATTGTCAAAGCGAGCGTAGTTTTCCCATTGCTCCGAGTCTGTCAAAGCAATGTAGGACCGCGGCATTGTGGAAAATACGTTAGCTTTGACCACGACTCAAAGAAAAAATTAGGTCGAGTATTGTACAATGAACCAAAGAGAAATGAAATGTAAATGTACAACATTCAAAATGGTACGTCAGAAGTGACAGGCTGACAGCTTTAAACTCCATAACACAGTCTGGAGAACTCGATGCAACAACAAAGATTTGATTCCGCTTAAGCGGCTGGATGACACGTTCCACGAAACTGGATATTTTTGCTTAGAACGAGTCGTTTGTAAATACTACGTAATGAAGTCGATTCCAACGTTAATTACACGTTTGATTATGCAGATCTGATGAAACGAATAAATAATCTTGACAGAAACAGTTCTTAATTACATTAGAGAAATGTAGAACAGTTTGTGGAATATCGCGTTAATTTTAACTTCGATTCGGTCTATTCGCCTGCTGGCTATATATATATATTATGCGAAGTGACTGCACACTACTTTGATAACCAGTCAATAGGTAGTACAACTCTAATTCTCCAAATTTCCCTAGTAAAGTTGTAGCACCGACTGTCTCATCTGGTCGCATCCACGAATTTATACCGGTAGGTACCAGCAGATCGTTCGTCTAGCAGAAATCTTCCAGCCATGTCAAATTTCAAGATAGTCATGATGTGCACAGTAGTTGATATATTCCTAACCAGCGTGTTGGTAAGGTTCCTGACGCATCACGAAACCTAGAACAAGATGTTCACTGTAATGAATAAGCCGTCTAGAGGTGTCCCATTTTGAAATATTATGTCATGAAAACTTTATGTTGCGGATGATAAAAAATGTAATGGAACTTACTTCGCTCGTTCGCCCATGAACAATTTTCGTTTAGTTAAATTCACCGTTATTCCTACGTTTCGACTAGGAGCATTACAAAAGGAGCATTCACAGCAGTTGGATGAGTATTTTTTTTCTCCACTCTGAGTAATCCAAGATTCATTGCTTTTGTCGATAGTTGCTGTCTTCTCGGGTGTAAATTATGTTAAAATAGTCGATGTCACACTAGTGTGTTTTATGAATGTAGCCTATGTAAGTAAAACAGAAGCGAAACAGAGGTGGTTTAAAAATGTAACTTTCTTTTTTGGCAAAACGAAAAATTGCACAGCAGACAAAAATTATTATGACATAGTTAACGAAAGGACTTGAATGCCGGCTTCAAAAATGGGATACAAGGCAGCGTTTCAAAAAATGTACCAAAACGCACCGCTATTTTTCATGAAACGCCTCATCCACAAAAGAAAAAAGAAAAGTCAAAACGCAGGTAATCGAAAATACAGAGAGAAGAAGAGAGATGCCGAAGGATTTTAAAAAAAAATGCAAACTAAGCACCTGCAATCTCTAGCTTTCTTTCTTTTTTTCTTTTCTTTTTTTTCCCCTTAAATATTGCGTGGTTGGACACCTTTAACTACCGGCACTGTTGGTATATTTGCCTGCCGAGCCACTCGGAGGTGAGAACTGCACGCGGAGCCTGCATGCTCTCATCACTGAGATCAACAGTTCTAGCAAGCACCGTTTCCACGGTACCGTACAACCGACACCCAACTGGATTCAGAACCAGCGAAAGGACCAAACGCGGCGGTATCAAGAAACAACCATAAAAGGTCACTTCGAAAACAACAGTGTCGGTTAGCCGGGCTCAAATTCAAATCCTCCTATCGGAAGGCAAGCGCTTGGCGCCGGGGCGGAGCCCGAACGCCATTGGCCGCGGGCGCTTCCCTCTCTCCTAGGAGCGCGAGGAGGAGCGACTCTTCCTGAAAAAAACTTGCTCGTCTTGTGTGCGCTCTCGGGTCCTCCGCTCAGTGCCTCCTTGTGCGCGGTGGACGTGGTGTTGTGTGTGTGCGGGCCTGTGTCCCACCCTCCCCTATCCCCTCCGAAATAGCTCCATCCGCCGCGGCCAGTGTCCTTATTTATTTATTACTCTCGGGCACCGATGCCAGCCACCATGGCGATTCGCGTCGATCTCGGCAGGATTCCGATGTCGAGGACCCTGCTGCGTGTGGGTGCTCCTCGCTCGCCGCGTTCCGTCAAACGCTGCCTCTTCGACGCGGTCGACCACGGCGACGTGAGACGCCAACTCGCCAAGGAGAGCGACGCACGGTTGGATCGCTTCCGCCGCCAGTACAACTTCGATCTGCGCACCGAGACGCCGCTGCCCGGACGTTACGACTGGAATGATTCACCGGTGTCGACGACGACGACGACGATTCAAGCTCGCGACGCCGTTGCTAGCGACGCCACCCAAGAGGTGCGACCGGCGGCGATAGCGTCGCAAGTGCCCGTCACCTCCGAGCGTCGCGAATCGGAAAGTCGACAAGTTTCTATCACGGGTACGTGCAGGTTCTTTTTACACCACGTATTTCTTGGTTTCTGTCTCGTTTTAGTTGTGCAAAAGACACCCCGGTGCATCTATGCTTAACGCGCTTTTTTCTTTATTTATTTATTTTTTGTTTTGTTTTTATCTTGCGGCGTGTTACGGACCTTTAAAGCGTCCATTGGCCGAGCGTAACTCTGGGAGCGTTAGGCTTAGCGCTCGGCGTCGCACGAGTCGCAATGGCCGTTTTGGTCGTGCGATATCTTTCTCCCGCTGCCTGGTGGCTCTAAAGCGGTGTTCGGCAAGGTGTTCTATTCTCCGCTAGGTACGACGACACCGTTACTGCTTCGTTATTTTTATTGGAGGCATTAGAAACGTTTCGCGTCGTGGGACCTTTAAAACAAAAATTGCCAGTGGGATTTAAATGTCCTCGAGCTTCCCTAGGCTTTTTGGGGCGTGGACGCGTTGCGAAAGACGCTTTGGCGCACGCGGCTGGACGACTAGCGCCATCTCTCGGGCTATCGGTGAACTATACCGTCTCGCCTCCTGAGTTGTTTGGCCATCGATGATCGGGCGGGCGTAGTCAACAGGATAGATAACTTTGCATACGTGCAATACTCACGCCAATCTCTTTCGTTTTTTTCTTTTTTCAATTATTCTTTTATGAAGCAGATTTGGTACGTTCTTTATTTCTGAAGGTCACAATCTTCTACTGACGCTCAATGTTCCATCCCAGAACTAGTAGGATTTTTGTTTTATTATTAATCCGTGACGGTCAATTGCTAAAACACCGGATTTATAAACAAGCTAAAATATGTCACTCTATTTATCTCACTCCCTGCCAGGCGGACTGCAATATGCATGCGCTATTAACGGTGCATATCAAAAGAACAAAAACAAAATGAAACGTAAGATCCCTTTTGCACATGTTTATACTTTTTAAGACATGTCAACCTCAACATGTAACAAGAATAAATTGCTGGTTTTCCAAAATAGCATCGAGAGAAAGAAGAAATGCCATTTTGGTGGTTGCAAACGTTTTAGCAAGATAAAAGTGCATTTTTCATTCAAAAACATATCTACTTTACGGTAATACCACGTCCCTTAAAACACAATAGCCTTCTTTAGATCGGTAAACAGTAGGAAATTGAACATTGAAATTGTCGAGCTTCCGTGCAAGGCAAGGTATGCTTCACATCTGAGCAGCAGTGCACTGCAGGAAAATCAACGCCGCTCCGTTGGGATAATTGTGATGGATAATAAATGTGTCGAAAGCTAGCTAGCCTCTTGTGGAAGTTCACAAGCGGGTGTTTGGGCATGTCGCAATAATGGTGTGGGGCCGGAGAATTACCCCCGATAAATATTTCTCAACCCAATTTCTTTGCTATGCAGAACGTTAGTTGTCTCTCTTCGATAAATGTGAAGCCATCTACTACAAGTAGGTCTTTTTGGTGCAGAGCATCCGACCACTGGTTCACTTTAGTCCCCACGTTGTGAGGATTGCAGTAAATCGAATTTACCTTAATGCGTATCGGCTCGATGTCTCAAGGTGTGCAGCATAATTGCTATGTCTCGAAGTTTATTGCCTGTCGTAAATTCCCATGCTTCGACCTCCGGAGTCTTGAAGTATTTTCCTCACATACTTAAGTAACTCGATCAGGCGACATCAAAATCCTTGCTCATGTTTGCTTGCGAAACTATTACCAAAATGAATCTATCCCTTGTTCGTGGAGCGTTCATAGAGATCTTTGCTCAGCTCAACACTTCGTCCCTGTTCCAAAATTTACTGGATCTTAGTCAGGGATTAAGGTCGTACACCTCGGCGTTCGAAAGCCCATCGGCATCCGGCGTTGTTCTATCTGTGTTGTCACGTGACATGACCCACCCGGAGTAAGGCGGATCCAGGGGTAAGATTTGGGAACATAGCCTTAGGTGTTCACATAATGTCGTCAGCACGAGCTGTAGGTGAAATAACTTATCGTATGCCATGAGCAACGGTTTTAACCGCACGAAAGTAATCTGGCGAACACTCGCTGTCAGCACGCGCTCGACCACAAGGCACACAACCATGGCCACCAATGAATAGATACTCCCTGTACGTGGTTTGCATGTTACGTCATCATGTCATCCTGGTGGCCAGTCCTACTTGTTCTTGCCGAGAAAAACAAACTCGGTGGTGAGAAATGAATGCTGTGGGAAGATATACGCCTAGCAGCAAGGCAACTACAATGGCCGCTGATATTAGGTCAGTGCACGCCATCTATACAAATGCGATGGACGTATACGATTGCACCATTTGAATCGGGAGGAATACTTCACCACCTAGCGAGTATTGAAAAACGGCAACGATAATCGTAAGGATGATGTCTCTACCGTTATTGATGGAACGCTGTCATCTGACGACGTTGTCTTCTTTCGTCTGAGACTGGACGTTTGTGTTTTCCCTCAGCATTCTTCCAGAGTCGCAAGAGGCGGTCGCAAGAGCCGGACAAGATGACGTCACCGGTGCCGTCCAAGGTCCTCCGCCAGCGGGCGCTGCCGCAGTTTCCGATGGGCGGCCAATGAACCACTGCCCCTGTACATAACGGAAGCACATCGTCGCCTTGGGAGAATTACGGTGAGTCACTGCTGTATGTTTCGTCGTGTTTTCGACGTAGGAACAGGTGTCGCTTATAGTTCCACTGAAACGGCCCTGAGAATACCGTTGGTTGGATGGATGTTAGTTGAATTAGTTGCTAAACCCTTAGTATTGGGCGGTAGCTCGTGCCACCTAGCCTAGAATCATTTACACAGACGAGCCCACTGGGCTGTAAGTTCAGTTTTGCCAGCTGGTGTCGGCTGGCGTTGACATGCCGACTGGTAAAACTGTTTGCGCTAATTTTGTGCTAATTGTGTTAACTTTTGGGCAGCATTCTACGTAGTTTTCCGAACAAGAAGTTGTCTAGTCATCTCCTGCCGCACTTTTTTGTTTAGTCAGCAGGTTATAATAAAGTGTTGGCTAAACCGTTTTCTTAGCACGTGGAGCGAAAGCTCGCGCTACAGAACGCAGGGTAGAGTGAAATAGAAAAAATTGGGTGGGGCCACCGGGGTGCTATTTCCGAAGCTCCGCAAGTGAAACAATTACGGCACGACGACGTCTCGGCAACTTCACGACATCGACGTCATGTCGTCCGTCGTCCGTACGACCGTCGAAGACGACGTCATTACACGACGTCGTGACAGCGTCGACGTTGATGTTGGCGAAAGCGACAACGTTCCACGACGTCAAGGCTTCATCATAATGTCGCGTTGACGTCCACGCTGACGATGTTAACGTGATGTCGTAGCGACTTATTTATTCGTATATATAATGCTCGACTCCGGTGATTTCGGCTTCTGTATGATATCTCAAAGCGTCGCCAGCGGGATGGTCCTATTTGGACCACGGATGTCTGGTTCTATGCCCCGCCCTCCCGAAGCGGCTGAAATGCACGAGCTAGACCTTTTCCTCTAGATTATTATCTTAACTCCGTGGTAAATAGACGATGACAAGCGGGACATCCGATTGCCGAGATGTGACTGCTCGTGCTGGCAAAGGCCTACAATAGACCCTTTCCGAAATTTTCTCTGGCCACTTCGGTACTATTATCACTTGGGTAACTGTATATTACCTGCACATGCTAATGGCGGCCTTGTGGTGGTTGGCGAAGAAAGAATTTGAAGACAGGCGATGCGGAGCCTGAAGATACCAGACATTAGTTCGCCGTTGTGCTGTTCGACGCCCCGATGAGGAGACTTAAACGCTTCCGCGCGCTACGCATTTCAGGGTGTCATGAAATTGTAAATCCTCAGAATGCTCCGCTTCGGCCCGCCCGAGAAGCTTAAAAAAGGGGCCATGAAACGATCTTGCTACTTTCGTTTACTACTACTCAGAATCACTCCCTAATCGTCTCCCCTCTGTAATGCCCCTCGGGGCCCTGACGGTGATTGTAAATAAATAAACGTTAATAACCGAATAAACTTTGCTTAGTTGCTCTTCTTAAGCAATGGTAGCCGGCAAATAAATTCGAAAAATGTGAGCATCGTTCATCCCCTCAACTCGGAGCCAAAACAAGCGGTCACGTGGCCTGGTGCCTATCCTATGCCGCCATCATAGCCACGCGCTGGGGTGGGTAAAGTAGAAAACGCGTTAGCATACAAAAATATAGACTGACATTTGAGCCACTAGACGGCACTGCCTTTCTCAAGGGGTCTGTTGCAGTCTTACCAAAGTTAACGTTGAGGCGCACGTTGCACTGGCGTGCACGCATCGAGGGCACCAGTCCGAGCACCCTGCTTGTAATAGTCTGTAGAGTTCCCTTTGTCTTCGTTTTGGAATCGGCGGGCCGCTCTGTGTAGGAGGTCATGGGCCTTTCATTTCATTTGCTCGAAGACGCGCTTTCTTTTGTTTTTTTCCCGCCGAAGTTTTCTTGGAAGCCGTCTGGCTGCAGGTCCCCCCGTGGTCTTTCTTTTATTCGGGTGGGGGCAAGCGGGAGGGGGACACAAGGTGGTTCCGCCGCAGAATCTGCTCTACTTCCACCTGCGGACCTTTTTTTTTCACCTGGTCCGGAACCGGAGAGGACGAGAGTGTGGAGGGAGAGGGGGGCGCCAGCTGTTTTTTGGGGAGTTTGTCCGACCTCCCAAAGGTCCTGCCCGCGCATGCCGAGATGCTGGCTGGCGTTCCTTGTTGCCAGCCACGCTTGTCCATTACTTTTCCTTTTCTACTTCGTGCGTGTTTTTGTCTTTTTTGTGTAAGGTAGGGCATTGTTCGCTTTTGTTCCGTCATTCTTGTTTAACTTGCATTAGTGGGACGTCGTTTTCGGGAGAGGAGAGGTGGTCAGTTTGGCAGCAATGGAGTTTGGACAAAGTTTCTCCCAACAATTACATTCGTGTTACTCTTGCACATACCATATATATTATTTTGTTTTTGTTCTATTTAAAGATCGCAACACATTTCGTGTGGGTGTGAAACTGTCAACGTAGAATCTCGTATTTGTAAAAAAAAAAAAAAAAAAAATGTAAGTTCCGTGGTTGGCGAGGTAGACAGAAATCAGCGTGTGGCGGGCTATATGCGTCTCGGCAAATGAAACTTCGGCATTGCGTTAAACGTAAATTGATATTTTACTGCGGCTAGATCCTGGTCAACGAGAAACTCTGCCTTGGTTTCTCCTGTCTGTTTTCCTTTAGTTTCTGTTTTCCTAACGGCGCGCGTCACGCGGATATCGCACTTTTGTGCGGGGCAAACGTGACCGCTGCGAGATACTGCTGCACCCACGAGGCGGCGATTGGCGTAACTGGGGGTTCCGCATACTTGTGTCGATCTTTTCTTTGGCCACACGTTATCCGCGTATCTGCCCCACATTCGTGCCGACCCAAGTGGGCTGGAGAGCTATATACTTAGTAGGGCTGGCTATCTTTTTAACCAGAGATACGTACTCCCGCGCGAATACTTATATATACAGGGTGTCACAAAAGAAAATTTACACGGTCTTTTTCACCGCAAAAATAAACTAGGCATCGCCCAACGCTCATTCTCCGCCCAAAGGTAGAGCTAGAGGTCACAACCAGTTGCCAAAGTTTCAGCGCGATCCGATAACTTAATCAAAAGTTATAAGTTATTTTCTGAAATTTTCAATGGAAAAATGGAGCCCATTTTTGCCCGTTTTTGGTTTCTGGTGCCGTAGAGCCCCATGTGTTTGAAAACTCCGTCGGCCGCCATTTTATTTCCCATTGAACTTTTCAGAAAATCACTTATAACTTTTGATTAAGTTATCGGATCGGCCTGAAACTTTGGCATCTGGTTGTGACCTCTAGCTCTACCTTTGGGCGGAGAATGAGCGTTCGGCGATGCCTAGTTTATTTTTGCGGTAAAAAAGACCGTGTAAATTTTCTTTTGTGACGCCCTGTATAAAAATATGTATTTGCGCCCGTGTTTCCGGTGCGCTCGTTGGTTTTTGGCTTCGTATATTGGCGCGAGACCAGAGGTCCGTAGGGCCTGAGCAGTGAACGGGGGGGCGCTGCGGTCGGCCGGTGACCGTGACGGGAAACTGCGGGCAGTTGCTGCTATGCGTTCTCAATTCCGCGCAGTGCCCACACCACTGCGCGAGCGAAGGAACCAGATTTGCGTGAGGTGAAGCTTCTGCGCATCCGCCGTGGCGACGATAGCGCCGCCGCAGAGACGTAGCGTCAGACCCGTGTGTTGGTCTATAGACAGGCGGCGCCAGCAGAGTGAGAGCACACTGTTGTACCCTGTCTCGTTGTAACTCTACAAAGGGTGAACGATAAGCCCCACAATGCCTGTCGACGGCTTCGATGGGCACTACGTATACGAGCGCAACGCAAGCATATTAGAGCATGACGCAGCGAAAAGTTTGCTACTTTAAAAACGCACTCCGGTGATACGTGGTCACGTTCCGAGTGACCCGCCAGGGCCGTAGCTTCCGCCGTACTGGCACGTTACGCGATCATGGCTCCTTCGCCTACCCAATATTTCTCGCTTCAGACACTAGGCTAGGCGGCGCCACCAGAGAGACAGCTCACGTCTGAACGATGCAGCCGCCACTCCCAGGCCTACCCAATGTTTCTTGGGTCAGCCGCTGGAGAGCGTCAAACCAAAGAGCATCGCAGGACAAACCGACGCATTCGCCGCAAGGCAGCACAGTTCCTTTTCGTCTCACCAGACTGACTTCCAGGTTCAAAATCCGCTCGATTTCTTCCTCCGCGCCAGCGGCATATTCCCCAGCAAACCAACGCGATCGTTCCTTCCCACGGATATATATATATTTTTGTTTTCTTTTTCGGTGAAACAAGACTTATTTTAGTTGAAAAACACCGGACGTGCTGTGACTGCTTTTCTGTGCTGGCGACTCGCGCGTGTGAAGTGAGTGGTTCGCCCCGGAGTGGGGGCGGACGACGCTCGTTTTTGTTGTGTGCGTTCGCAGTGCGGAGGATGAGGGCAGTGTGTGTCTGTTTGCGCGCGCACGGATTCCGCCCCCGCCACGGCGTTTGAGGCCGCGGCGGAAGCCAGCAGCAAGGGGAGGCCAGCCAGGTGCGACGACGGAACAGACCAGAGCCGTCCCTGCTACCGTGAACAGCCGGAGCAGGGGTGGGGAAATGGACTGCGCGGGGTAGAAGAAAGTGGCGTCGGCAAAGGAGAGGACCACTCCTACGGAAACGCAGACTTCTTCCTTCTTTTTTTGATTTTTCGCGTCGCTTTTGAAACCTTCCTTTCTTGGCGGCGTCTTTTTATTTTTTTATTTTTTTCCCTGGAAGAATCGGGTTTCCGTAAATGGGTGGACGCACGCGCTCGTTCCTTGGCGCGCGTGCGTCGGCGTACAATGAGTCACGCGATATTTCTCCGCTGTCACGAGAGTGTGTGTCAGTGTGGTGCGTGGGTGGATCACGTTGAAGGGCACCGTACTGTCAGTCGGGTTATAAAAAACTCGCATCGGCGTTGCGAACATATGTCAGTGAGTAGGAAGTCATGGAACCCTCATTATTCTTATTGTTTTTATTTAGTTAATTGTAATAGGTCGCGGGCGGCAGTAGGAGACCGTCACTCGGCGACCGCACGGTGTTTGCACCATGCACGTAGCCAGG